TCAATTGCAATTAAAATCAATTGCAATTAAAATCAATTGCAATTAAATCAATTGCGGCGCGTCGCAATTGATTTAATTGCAATTGATTTCAATTGAATTGATTTTTTAATCTGATTGAATTATTGATTGAAATTTAATTGATTAACGCCCAACACTGGTTATTGAAATAAAGAAGACCCCGACTCCCCGAAAATTACGAAGACCCATAACTCAATGATTAAATACTGGGGGGCCTACTATAAACCTTTCCAAAAACATTCTTATTTCAATGTAAGCTTAAAGGAAGCTTATTATAATATTACTCATTATCGTACCATGACAAACCTATCAACCATGTAATGTATTATTGCTAAAGTGATTGAAAGAACCAATGATTTCCCAATATTGTCTATTCCTTATTAAAAATAGGAAAGAAATAACGCTATATGAACTATATAATGCATAAATACATCTCTTTATTTTTTGATGTTCCGAATCATCTTATCGTAGTATTGTGGTTAAGTACTTAATGTTATTTACATTCAGAGAATTTTAACTGTTAAAAAAGGAAAGTATGTAATAATAAAATCTATTAAAATTACGTTGTTTTCAATTACATATATATTTTTTCATGAAGAAAAATAAATAAAACAAGCAATTTGATAGTCACGCTGTGAATTCGGAATTATAGTCTAGTGTCAACTGTTAGTGTCGCCTAGGAGCGTATAGATGTCGCTGTCATAATTTTACGAAATAAACATCGCGTATTTTTTTTTAATGAGAATTTATTTCCCACTACTAAAGTCAAAGTCAAAGATTATTTATTCCATAAGTAAAATAAATTTACACTTGTAAACGTCACAGTTAAGCTACTGCTCGTTCACTACGCTGACCTCCCTGAGAAGAACGAGCAAGAAACTCTAGGGATTGCTCTTTTCAAATAAACTTAAATGCTATGGAGTACACTTTGAATCAAATTTGTGTGGATTCTGGAGCCGTGTCGTCTTTCCATACATCTTTATCTAACACGTAGTCTTCATTTTTGTAATATGATTTTTCGATCAAAACATTTTTAATGTAGTTTTTAAACTTAGGAAATGATAAACTTAATATATGCTCCGGAATCTTATTGTAAAAACGTATACAGTTCCCCATAAAAGAGTTGTTTACCTTGGTTAAACGAAATCGTGGTATCATGAATTTGGACTTAGGTCTAAGGTTAATATTATGGATATATTCTTTCTTATTGAAATTATGTGTATTTTTACGGGCATATAAAATATTTGAGTAAATGTACTGAGATGCCACAGTCATGATACCAGTCTCCTAAACTTTTCTCTGAGAGAAACCCGAGAGCCTAGACGGTACACAGAACGAATCGCTCGTTTTTGCAATACCCCACATGAGAATCCCATAGGACATTATACTATGGAAGTAACTAAAGTAAACTAGTCTAGCAGTACTAACATCGGTAAGCTCACGCATTCTGCGGACTGCGTATGCAGCGGAGCTTAATCTGCTGGCCAGGAAAGATATATATATATATATAAATAAAAATAAAGTACTATTAACATTGACTTACAATTATATGGACGTCGGGTCCGCGCTAAAAAGTGTCCGCACTTGTAAGGCGCTAAAATCGTATACAGAGCGTCAAACTCCGCTTTAGTCTTCATTTGTTCTACTGACAGCGCGATACTGCGATAACATTACAATTTAAATTTCGAATAGGTTGACTTGGGACATTTTTTTCGTGGTTTTTGTATTAGACCCGTCGTCCATTTATTTGTAAGTCAATGACTATTAAATAAAAAAATAAATAAAATCTTGAAGAGATTTATGTAAATAAATAAGTTCAACTTAACTTTTAATCATTACAAATCAATGTTTTTTTAAGGCCATAAAACTGAAAATAATATTGTTTCCATTGCATCCGTGTAACTATTTTAAGATTGCTAAATTTGACATAAGAACAATATTACTTTAACGTTAAAGTCGTGTCATAGTACGAACTAAGTGAATGAATAGTCGTCACAAAGCTGCCAACAAAACATCACAGTTTTAATATTATAATAAGCTTACTTTAAGCGCGTCATGGTACGAAAAGTCAACGTAAGGTGAAAGTAATATTGTTTTAAGAGGTTGTGGTAGTTGGACGCTGAGGCTGGCGAGAGTATACCCACCGGGGTCGCAGTAGGCCACGACGTAGGGCTCGTCGGCGGCGGCCAGCAGTGCCACGGCGGAGTCGGCTCGTACGCGCTCGGCTCCGCACACGCCCGCCGCGCCCAGCAGGTACGCCCACAGCCCGTCGCCGCCCGCCCACACCTCGAACCTTCACCATTCAACAAGTCATTCGCTTCGGGCCTCACTGGTTCTACATGCTGATTTCATTCAAATCGGGTAGTCTCGAAATCAGATGGGTTTCCGAGCGAGAAGATGAACCTGAGTCCTATTATATCTTTCTAATTTGTGAGTTAAATCTACTATTGTTCCGATTTGAAATGTCAAAAGTTTCCGATCGACCAGTTGTGAATCGCGTTATGCGCCTCGACTCGCTTCGGAAGAGACGCAGTTTCCGATCGGGAGAGGCAATCAAAATTAAGCTGCTAGTCCGAGAGTTTTCTTGTCTGAGATCGGGCAATTAATAATAACCATCAAGGTTACGGAATGTACTCGTCAAATAGACGAAAAGGAAGAAAGAAATATTTATTCGGCTGTTTACAAACATACAATAATATTTTTTTAAATTAATTTACTCTTCATTTATTTAACTTAAGGCTAACACATGCAGGTCCCCAGCGATTCGCTCTAAGAAGTATTTTTTTTAGTTTGCTTTTGCATTCTCCTTCCACATACGAATCATAATCTAATTTCCGGGTACCGTAAATATTATTCACTTTAAGGAGCACATATTTCTTAGTATTTAAGATTCTTAAATTGTTTGGTCTCTGGTAAGCAAATAAATTTTGTACATAATTAAGTTCATTTAAAACAGACAACTAGACTTTATTACAAACGCTCATTATTTAACAATGACTGAACATGATGGAAAAAAAACAATTAAAACCATTGACTTACAATTATATGGACGTCGGGTCCGCGATAAAAAGTGTCCTAACTTATAGGGCGTTAAAATCGTATACAGAGCGTCATTCACGCTTTAGTCTTCGTTTGTTCGACTGACAGCGAAGCAAGCAAAATTAGACAGTACTGCGATGACATTACAATTTAAATTCAACGTTTTAGCTTTTTCATATTCCTTTACATGTCACTACGTTTAAATAGGTTAACTTGGGACATTTTTTTCGTGATTTTTGTATTAGACCCGTCGTCCATTTATTTGTAAGTCAATAAATAAAACTAACAATATTATCCGAAAAGGCTAGCCAGCTCAGCTTTATGGTGGGCCTCTGGGCCTCAGAACTGGTTTTCAGCAGAAGCCTCAGAGGATGGCTTTAAATACTTGTTAATGACAAGTGAGTAGCAAGGATTTAAATATTTCTCATGGATCGTACATTTCCTGGTTACTGAGAACGCCCTGGCAAATACATCTTCGATTTTTTTTTAAGGAAATTTTGGGTCAATTATCAGGCATCATTTTATTCAGTCATTATTTTTATAAGTCATTTTGTAAGCAAAGCATATTATTCGTGACCGTGAAACAAAATGTACTATGTTACGTAATTATTAGGTATTTTTGTATCGTAACACTCGCTATTATAAATTAAATAAAAAATTTATATCGATTCCAAACATAGAGAAAGAAGAAAGAAACGGAATCTTTTTATATGTTATCATGACATTCATAAATGTCATTTACTGTAATTCGTAAAATTTTTAAGTTTACTGCTTTTTGTTTACGTTTTTTCTAATTCTAAAAAAAACGAAGTAGAATAGATGTAGGTAACAAGGTCAAATTTGCACCGAGCGTGTGTCGCAAGACGTTAAATGTCAAAATCTCACCCGTGCGGCGTGGGCACGGCCGCCAAGCAACGGAGCTCCGTGGCGGCGCCGAGCTCCGACAGCACGAAGCTGCCTTCCGCCTCGGGCCGTGTCGACGTCACCAGAAACAATCTAACGCAATGGACAAAAAATACAGGTCATTGTCATTGTCTCCTAAATCGCTACTAACTTGCCTTTTGAGCACCGAATGAAGTCTGTGTAAACTAGCCGATCTGGAGTCAGGATTTGACTGATATGGTCCCTGTATAATCAAAAGATCGGGTTCCGTACCCAACGGGCATAAACAAAACTTAGTAGAAGATACGAGACTGTCTCTTAAAAAGTCATAGCGTGTACACCATTAGTTTGGATTCCCATTGGTTACGAGTGGCGGGAATAACGGCCTTTTCCAAGTAGTTCTCTTTTGGTAGACTGTTTCTCTCACGTACACCACAAAACCCCGATACAAAGCAAGAAAGAAGAATAATTTATGCCGATAGATGTCATTATTTAATATTTTATAGCTTTTACACTTGAGCGGTTGTTTGGTGAAGTCTACTTGACAAATACAGTATTTGATTGAGATGGTATTAGCATTATCAACGAGTTATTATATTTAATACGTATTTTGAAATGTAAACTTATTTTTAATTTACCAAAGAACATAACGACGTTCCAATTTACGCTACAAAAGGTTTGCAAAATATTGTGACAATATGCATTTGAAATTACGTAAGTTTGCTGTGACCCGCCACAAGATAGCACTGCAGCGCCCACGCATTAGATTCTGCACTATCGGTAGCAGAAGCAACTTACTGCTTAGTTCCAATTGGTATCGCTAGATGGCGTCGGCGACATTTAACATCGAGCAGCAGTTGCACTTACCGCCCGCAAGAGAGCGCCACGGCGACCCGCTGCAGCTTCTGCAGCGAGAGCAGCGCGGCGACGCCGGACGGCGCCCCGCCCACCGCCTCCTGCACGCGCACGCTCCACGCCAGCGCGCACGTCGCCACGCTGCCAGAACACGCACTCGTCAGGCGCACTGTCTCCGTTCATATGTCGCACGAACCTTTCTTTAGTCTTAGACATTTTTTACGGGACGTAATTAATGACGGGACGAATCTGTCGTGAGTTGGTTATTAAGGCGTGTCGACGCCTAAACTTTAAATGACAAAGACCTGAGGGGCACTGCCAATGCGCTTGTCACCCTGATGTAAGTAGAGAAGTGCCTGTAATTTCACCGGCAAACTTATCCTTTAAAACCGGAACGCGGTAATGTGAGCCGTGTGAGTACTACTTGGCGGTCGTAATGCTCAAATAGGTCAGTATTGTTTTCTCCGAGCGAACTCTTACACAAGGAGCCCTACTGCTACTATTATAATTTCCACTTTGTATGGCTACACCGCGTCTGCATTGCGTATACTAGCAGGTGACGCGCGTTTACGGTTCCATTGAATTTGTGAACGTGTGAACGCGGCGCTATAAAATACATTCATAATTCAGATATTATTGGCAATATTTTACCATCCTTCACAAACTATCGATAAAATTGTCGACAACTACATGACTATTTCAAATTGTATGAAAACCGGCAACCCCGCATCACACTTGCTCGTAAATGGTATGGTTGACTACAACGCCCCAAATAAATCCCACGGGCCTTTTTCCATTACAGCCAGCCAGGAAAACCTGTATTCCAGGTCACCAGGCTTCCAATCTGCAGATGAGCAAATAAGATTGTAGCACTGTAGTTGTGATACAGGAGAAAATTTTATCAATTGTATTATATCCGTTTTATAAGAAATTCACAGTCCCATTAAGCAATTTATTAATATCATCTTCCAGCTGGCGCTGATGATGCCGTATACTCACGAGTAGACGGAAACGCGTCCCGCGGAGTCGCCAACCCACATCTTGTTGCCCACGCGGCACATGGCCGTCACGACGACACCCTCCACGCCGGCTGATAACCGAAAACGTTGTAAGACTTCTATACTCGATAACAGGCAAATTGTTTAATCTCTATAATTTTATGATTATTAAAACATAGAACATTTTTTCGACCCGATGGGACTTGAACCCTCGACCGTACTGCACCGTAGTTTTGCACTTACCAACTGAGCTACGGGTCAAGTTATCGAGTTGTCGAAATTATCTTACGTGTTTTTATTAAATATCGTTGTACTGGATTTTTCGGAACTCTACGCCGCTAGTGACATCTAGTGAGAGATTTTAGAACCTTCTTCGCCGCTGCAAAATTTTAGGGGGTCGGCTTCGAGCCGATGAGAAAAAGCTTTACGCCCATACAATAAGGGTTCGTTACCGCTCAGACGGTCGCCGGCGGGCACGTTTAAATAAAACTTTTTCTGACCGACTTAAGTGTAATACTCAAATCTTTTATAATAAGTAGTTTGAAAGGTATTAACAATTTAATAATGGCATACCTTCTTCTCACTGCCATTAATAACGTAATGGCAGTGAGAAGATAAGAATAAAGGAGCAAAGCCCACCTGGCGGCACCCTGAGACTGTACTGGTGCGTGAAGGCGGTGCCCGTGCACAGCAGCGTGTGCACCCGCTCCGGCTCGCTGCCGTACCACACCTCCCAGCCGGCGGCGCCTTCCTCTGCGCAAATTTTACGTTCCAATGTCAAACTTGCGCTTAAAACAATGCACGTGAGATTTTGTCAAGAGTATGGAGTCCTTTTTAATAGAAAATCCGTTTTAGACATTAATTAATATTTTTAGTTATGCGCAAAAAAGAAAGATTTCTCTTCCCTAAATTAAAGTGACAGCAGTCATGATCTGTCTGCTAAATTTTAATTCAGTTTTCAATTTTTTTTTCGTTAATAATTAAAATAGTTGCTTCGTGGTTAGTAAATTGTATACATACATTGTACTTTGACATTAGAAGAATAACATAATTAAAATAGATATAAATATATTTTGACATAAATATTGAATATTTAGACTAATGAGTGACATGTCTTTTAGGCAAAGCTATGTTGTATTTTAAAACATCCAACACATGACACCGTGCTGAAGTCCTGTAGGTACAATTAGGGCACCAAATTTGCTAATAACCTAAACTAAAACGATATCCAGAATCAAAATCAAAATCAAAATAATCTTAATTTCATAGGTAAGCATTATTACACTCGAAATCGTCACATTGGTTAACCTTTACCGCTCATTCGTAAGGCAGACTCTAGGGTTTGCTCTTTGTAAACAACATTTGTACGCATTCAACTTGCAGAAATGTAAGTCAAATGCACACTTACATTAGAATAAAAAAAAATCTGCAGCCATCGCGATATTGCCTATTCTCAAAAAATTACGTAATATAATTATTTTGAAACAGAATAGCAAAATTGGGAGAAAGAAATCCGTTACTTTGCAACATTTTCGTGTCTTGTTCCAACGAAATTAATTTTCGGTTTGAGTGAATATTTATATAAAAATACAGTTGAAACGCGTTACTTCCTTGTGGAATGTGATGTTAGAATCTATTTTATGTTTGTCTGACGTATTTTTACACTCATTTACCGCACATTTCGTCATTTTTAGCTAAAATTCTTAAGCTGTTCGCGGTGCAAGTTGACCTTGAGCACTGACGGCCCGCCCGCTCGTGTAGGCCAATTGGGAGCGCTTCAATTTGCCTCACTTAGTGTGTGCGGGCTAGGTATCTATGCGTTATTATTCTAAGGTTCTCACCTTCTCCTGTTTTGAAGTCGGTTAAAAATACATTAATTTTAAGAGTAAACAAGATAAAAATTTAGATATGCATAATAATTTCCACGGTAGTTTTAGTAAGGTAATGTCGGTCGTTAGTGATTGAATGAATTAATGCCATCACTGCCATTCTATGGCCACACTACTGAGGCTCAATGGCTGTTGCAACACATATACATACTCATGGACCCTAAGTAGACCAGCGCCATCTACATCAATTGCAAGAAACAGATGACAAGAAGATGATTTACGGACAAACATCAGCCGGTTAGTTCGGGGCGATGTCAAAAGATGCGCTCTCCATGCCTATAAGAAGACCGAACAGCAGCTCCCGCACTCTTTCCCAACTGTACCTACCTAAAGTACTTTTTTGGCAAATTGTCTGTACCTATTAAAGAGAAATAAAATTTAGCTTGTACGAAGAAAATAATAGAAATCATTGAACGATCCAAAAACAACGCATTCAACTCACCAGAACTTGTAGAACGAACAAAAACAATTGCCATTACAACTAGATTTTAGCAGAATGATAAATATTATCATAATTACTATACGGTCTCAGTGGAGTCTCAACGGAATTACATCGACTAGTACTTTCAAGGACAAGGGCCCTGGAAGCTGTGCAAGAAGAAACAAGACTGACCGGTGACGCCTTTGAGCGGGGCAGCGGCGGCGGCCGCGGCTACCCGGGCGGCAGCGGCGTCCTGCAGGGCGGTGAACTCGGGCGCGGCGGCCACGGCCACCAGCGCCGCGGCGGATGGCCGTAGCGATGGCGCGCCGCTCCAGCAGCGGCGCATCGCTTCCAGGATGCAGCAGGGGAACTCCAGGTCCTGACATCACAGCGGCGTAAATACCTTACAGTCCTCAACATATCTGAACGATCCAAGTGCACTTTTTGATGATAGTTCATTATCCACCCGATATACGCGTCACTTATATGCATGTGAAAAAAGTTTGCTACTAAGAAGCAAATTTTCTCCCACTAGTCTACCACCGCTCAATGATGGTCATTCAACTTTATTGATTCCACTGATTACTCGAAGAAAATGTCAGTGGTCAGAAACAAACTAATCAGCTTCCACTTCGGCTAATTGGCTGATCTTTTTAAAAACAAAAACGCTCCTTTTCAGTTTCAATCTAAATTGCACTTTAAATTAAACACATGTTAGGGACATTTTTCCTAACCAACTTTAAAAAAGGAGGAGATTCTCAATTCGACTGTATTTTTTTGTATGTACGCGATTACTCAGGCATTTGTGAACCGATTTGGATGGTTCTCTTTTTGTTGGAAAGAGGGTTCGTCAGTATTGGTCCCATTTAAATTTAAAGAAAATATTCCACCTCTAAGGGTTGAATAAGGTTTATTGGATTTCAACCACTGTCCGTTAGCCATTTTCAATAAAACTTGGTAAATAGATGTAATTCGAAGACGGTTTTTTTAAATAAAAAAGTTATTAAATGGAACAATATTTTAAAGGTACAGACAAAATGTGACCTGTCTACAATATAGCTTGTGCACGGAAATCCTACAGCTAGTGTAGACGCAATTATTTACCCGTGGTGAAAGAGTGGGCCTGGCGCCGTCCAGGACAGCTTCCTTGACAGCCTCGTGGCCCTCGAACGGCTGGCGCAACGTCACGATCTCGTACAGCAGCATACCGTATGAGAAGCAGTCAACCTGGACATAGAACGTCATCATGACACACGATGATCATGTTATTATAATTTTTTATTGAGATGGTAAACTTATTACCCTATACGGGGCGTAAAAAGGCTATGGGACATGAGGGAAGGGCTTTAAATATTGTAGATAGGATTTTATGTATTTTTGAAAGTAAGTAATATTACATTTAAGTTTTATTGGATGTCAGGATGTTCCATCACAATGATTTTCTATTATTTTTTGTGAAATTACTCCACTAATTTGTTATCATTATTAAACAAAGATTGAACACTTAGAAAAAATTTCACTTCGATCCGGTTGGATTCGAACCAACGTCTCCCAGCACACCGTGCCAGACGCTGAGTTGTGAGTTGCGTTATTTGAGTTGCGCAGTTTGCGCTCGACCGAAATTCGGTTGGAGCGCCAGATGAACGTATTTTATTCAGTTGCTTTTTAAGCGTTTATACCAAACTGACCCCTTCCCTCACTCCTACCTCCACCCGCGTCAGCCCGTCACACGATGCGACCGAAAGTCAATCGTGATTACGCCCGTGAGTCGGCAGATAACTCATTTTGCGTCGTAGCGTGAAACAAACCGTACTTTTATATGAAACCGAATGCAGCGCAAACTACGCAACTCAAACTATGAGACTCACAACTCACAAAATTACGCTCGTCTGTTCTCACACGAACTAAAGGACCTAACGAATTTTTTCATGCGTTTGTTGCAGATGTATGTCAAAGGCATTTAAAAAGCTCCTTGCCTCGTATCGAATTGACCAAATGTGAAAAATAAAATCATGTGTTTTTATGATACTGATCAATAGGGTCAATTGTACCGACGAATTCCTTTTTAAGTAAAATAGCACCTTAAATTAAAGGCTACGAGGTTGATTTGTTCTTGTTAATTCCGTAAACTTTAGTTGATAAAAGGTTTTTTATTTATTAAAGTTAGATTTAATGGATGTTTAACTGTTACAATATTCAAATTTACATTGTTTCCGTTTTTCTTCGACATTTCTCTATCAAAGTTGAGTAGGGCTGTACTAAGTCGATGTTAATTTAATTGATACTTAATGTCAAACGCTTATTTATTTTATATTCTTTTTCTTTTTGTTGCACTAAATGTGTTTTTTAATAATACCAAGTGAGGAACGAACAAGTCGTGCGCCTGGTTGTAAACGACACGCCTATCCATAGCACTGCGGTTACAGTGCCACTCAGAGCTTTAAATCGCTAAGGTCTGAGGGGCACTGCCACTGCGCTCGTCACCCTGAAACATAAGTTGACAAGTCCCATGTGCCTGTAATTTCCGGACCCTTCAAACCGGAACGCAGTAATGCTCGCATTGCAGCTTGGCGGCAGAAATAGGTAAGGCTGTATTGTTACTAAAAATGTGTGTGTGTGTTTTTGACAGATCGTCAAATGAGAATAATAAAATAATAAATAAATAAATAAATTTCTTTATTTCCTCCACAAAATATAGATATAACCAACGAACAAATTTGATCTTATGAAATAGCAATTTGTGGAGACTGGTGCCTAAACTAGGATACCCTGTGTTTTAGGTCACCAGGCCTCCACCTCCAGTAGATATGTGGCCAACATGGGTATTTAACAAAGTTTATTGTATCAATTTTTTCGGCGGAACCCTTGTCCATATCTTCACGACCTCACGACGAACGTCACGAAACGGATGCCTATTTAATGTAAAAGTAAACAGAAATGATGGAGGGCCATTAACTTTGCCACAGTACCTTCTCGTTGTATTCTTCTTCCCCGTTGTAACGCATGATCTCCGGCGCCATGAAGCCCTCGGTGCCTCCGAAACCCTTGGTTCCCGAAGGTGGCGCCAGGCGGCTGATTCCTGAGGGCAATGAACTAGAGTTTGGAGGCGCTCCATGGCATTTGCTTTAGCGGCGATGAGAAACTAGCATTTGGGAGACGAGGGTGCGGGGATGCGGGGAGGGAGGGTCCGTACCGTAGTCCCCCAGCTTGACGAGCACGTCAACCGTCGCGGCGCTGCGCTCGGCGGTAGCGGCGTCTTGCGGGCTCGGCATGGACCACACCAGCACGTTTTCGGACTGGAATTTAGTATATATATTTAATGTGATCGATTGTATAACTACAACTATAATAGCTTTAGCCTGTCGCTGTCGTACAGTTGAGGTGCTTTAAGTGGAGTGTGAAAGTTGCACTAAAAACGGACGTGGTCCATGAGACTCTTTTCTTTATGATAAGAATAAGATATCAGAGCTTAGTACGTGTATTGTACAGTGAAATTGTATTGTTTATCACACTAAATACTGTTACTGACGATAATTAAATTATAAATTAATTTGAAATAAAATGTTACACATGTTGCTATAATATTAAAATAACACAACTGGTCATGAGCGTTTTAAAATACGTATCGCGCCATTTAGCGAGAAAAGAAAAATCTTTTTATTTCAGGTTAACTGAAATAATTTTAAGAGGAAAATGTTTGTTAATAAATAACAAATGTTTTTTCCTCTTACTCGAGCAAAATATACAGAATAGATTTTTATTTCGCGAACTGATAGGGGAACCTATACTAAAACTTTTATAGTTTTATGTACCCACATTTATTTCCTTTTATATTAAGAAACTTCTCATTCATAGTGTGTTACAAAAAAGGTCATGTTTTAGCTTCATAAAAAAATTGGAATACCAGTCCGAGTCACCACTTTAACTTAAATGTGACAGCATCGTTGGTCGAATACGTCAGTGACGGCGGGGAGTAGTTTAACATAGAGAAATAAGATTTTTTACGGCTATTAACTTTGCTATGGGTGAAGAGGGAAGTGGTCACCTTCAAGTCGCGGTAGACGATCCTCCTGGCGTGGAGGTACTCCAGCGCGCGGGCGGTCTGCAGCGCCAGCGCGCGGGCGGCGCGGGGGCCGACGCGGGCGCCGCAGCCGCGGTACTGACGCAGCACCGCGTCCAGCGCCCCCTGTTTGAGTTGGGTTTATTTGCCGTGGCATTTACGGTTCGTCGGTTCTTGAACTTGAGTCCCTGACCTCGATAAACATTGCTCTCCCGTTCCAAATTTCAGGGCGTGACTTTGAGCCATGGGGGAGGTATGCAAAATTAAATATCATAATAATATTTTTTATTCATTAACACACAAAAGGAATTTAAGAGGTAACTGAGTCACAAATACGAATGTCAATTCAGATTTATTTTGAATTGTTTTTGAAATATCGTTCAAGGAATAAACAAGTCTGAGACCGGTGTGACTGTCACGTATGTTATGTCGAAAAATGTAGCATTTTTTACAGTTTACAAACACAATTTTTTTCTAGTTGTACAAGTCTGCATGAAAGTACCAAATGTCAAGTGATCGTGTTTTGCTTCCAGTTACGTTTCTCTCGCTCTCTCAACTGAGCCAATGTTTGTATCATTGATAAAGGTTGAATAAAAAAAGCAACATTTTTTTTATTTAACTGAATTCGGGCCAACGTCTGTTGCTTAACCGCGGTTAGTGTACCACTTGAGACAGACTTAGCAAGTTTCAAGTTTCTCTCCGGGGCTTTTTGTTGGGAGCTACGGTTAGGCAATAAACGCCGGTTCGTGGTTAGTCGGATCGGGGGTACTTTTCTTTGGGTTTGTTCGATCTTTTGATCTCGGTTAATGTCGCTAATTCGTTTCTTTCATGACCTACATTCGTTAAACGAAAATTCCGAGGGGGTGCCGGCTCAAAAGGGGCGACACTGTAAAAACCAGTATCTGTATACGTGGAAAAATAACTTTTCAATATTTTCTTGGGTTTGGGCTCATGCGGTATCGTCGTAGCGCTTTAGTTACTTACTCGGGGATCAGAGCCTTTATTTTTTTTCTATTAATTAATTTAGGAAAACATACAGTTTTATAGAAATCTTCTAAAAAAAATACATTAAATAATTAATGGACCAGGACCCTAATTTAGAAGTCTTCGATATTTTAAACGAATCGTTCGATTGGATATTGTTTTTGAATCGAAGGGAGTTAAACGTTCGGCTCGGATGGAGTTAGTCGGTGAAATGGATTATAAGAGAAATTACGATCCTTATATATACATTTTTAAGACTTTAGGTCTAAAATATTGTATTAGTCTTGCATAAAAATAAATGAATAAAAACCAGACTTTATTTCATAATAAGAGGCTCGAATGTTAAACTGCCGCTTCGTAAACAATAGGACGTTCGGTAACTTCATTCGACAACTGTCAACACCGCCACAGTCGAGGGGTCGTCCCTCGGAACGCGGGTAACAGTGGAACCGTCGAGAGCCGAGCGCGTCTCGTCGCGCGGAGCAGACGCACCTGCGGCGCCAGCGCCAGCAGCAGCGCCAGCGGCGCGGCGCACACGGCCAGCAGCGCGGCCACGTGCGGGTGGCGCAGCGGGCGCAGCACGGCCAGCTCCTGGCGCAGCGCGCAGTAGGCGCGGCAGGCGGCGGCGCGCGGCTCGCGCTCCCAGCGCGCC